GCAGCTGAGCTCTCTGCTTCCACCAAGTGGACATCAGCCTTTCTGGTCGTGTTCCTGAAAATGTCTCCAGCTTCCAGATGTTGCTCATGCAAGTCACGGCAGGCTCCACACCCTTGCCACTCTCCCTCTGTGACCCTGTCCTGCACTGCGTTGCTTGCAGAGCACACACCATGTCTGTCTGCCCTTCAGATCTCTCAGAAGCCCGGCTGTGGTACCACCTGCAAACCTGTAGAACAGAAATTTTATTAATAGATTCCCTCTCCTAGGTGACACTTTATACTTCGGAAATGTCGTCTGGAGTGATCCGTCCTTGGAAAAAGACATTATGGGAAAGGTGAAGGGTCAGAGAAAGATAGATGGACCCTCAACAAGAGGGTTTGGCAGAATCTCATACCTTATAACAATAATAATGAGCATCATGAGAGATGGTAAGGGTGGCAAAGGACAGGGCAAGGTTCAGATCAGTTCACTGTATCATTACAAGTGGCAGCTGACTCAATGGCACCTAACAACAACAGATGATACCTTTGACTTCATTAACCACAATGCTCTTCAGAATCAAAGGAAGAGACCTGTGAACAGCAAGACTTGTGTCCAGGAGAGCTTTTATTTGTACGGAACAGTTTTAAAAATACAGAATAAAATAGTTTTGTCTCTACTATTATTATTCACAACATCTGGTCCAAATATTACATATTTTCTTTAAAATACTTAAACGTTTAATGAAGCCATGTTAGAAAAACAATATGAAAATTCTTTTTAAAAACTCCATAAAAGAATTACACATCTCAAATAACAAAACAAAACAGAACAAAAACAAAAAAAAAAACAACAAAAAACAAACAACCCCATCCCAAATACCCTTGGTATGCAAAAAAAATAAAAACAAAAATATCCCAGAAAGGTATATAGTCAAAGTCAGTCACAAGAACGCAAGGAAATGGGAGGCGTCCCTACTGTTTTAAGAACAGTCAGAAATTTACTAAGGTGTCAAACAAGTTGTCACGTATGAACGAGAAAGGGTTACTTGGGTCTGTCAGTGAGATGGCAACACTGGGATGGGATGGATGCCCTGTGCGCAGCAATCCTAAGGATGCTGGATGGTGCTGAAGTTGGGGATGGAGGCTCCGTCAGGCACAGCCTCGGAGGGCGGGAATGTCTGTGAGGCTGCTGAAAGGGATCCCCAGCACTAACATGCTTTCTGAAGCCACAATGGAAGCTGAAAATTGGCAAAACTAGGCAGCCTTTACCTTCTCTGCTTTTGACTGCAGAGACGCGGCGGTGGGAGATGTCTTATTCTCCACATCCAGGTCATCACGGGACAGGACACACAGTACATGTGTGAGGCCCAAGGCTCTTCTCGAAAGCTCTGTGGATGCCCAGGCACGGGTACCAGACCACCGACAGCAGACACAGCTGGCTATGCACACCCAGCACAGCAGTCCCCGCCCTGGCCAGGAAGTTTCTGGAATGAGGCCATTGCCACAGCTCCTTCCTTATTCATCTTCTCTCTGGCCTGGTCACCCTTGTGGCATAAATATGACTGAAGATTATACTTGACATCTAAGTTGCTAGTACCAATATTTCAGCAGGGACAGGAGTTAAAGAAATAACACCTTAGCTCTTGGTAATATATTATACGCATGGGTAAATAAAGTATACACACATACTAGAGATTCATCAATGGAGAAATTCTATCATCACATGACATTGTCATGAAAATTATATCATTCCCCCCCTGGAAAACTGTGACTATTATCCTGGGCAGAAATGTTATTTTACTATATGGAAATACTGCAATATTCATGCATCAACCGACTTGCTGTGAGTTAGTATTCTACAGTATAAAGCAAATCTTGGGTGTGTGAATTTGTCACCATGAGAAAGGGAAATTGTCAGGGCCCACGAACTTCATGACAGCTGGCCTGGTCCTCCACTCGTCTGGCCTTCATCAATCACAGAAGACTCACTAGAAGCCAATAGCTGAAACCCTCTTGAGACCCGTCTATTTTGTAGCAGAGATTCTAAGTTTAGAGCAGAAAAATAATTTACAAAGACTGGAGCCATTTCCCATCATTCTGCGACTCGTGTTAGACAAGCATTTTCTAAAAATCAGCGGTCGGTCTCCGCTGCTCCTCGCCATGAATATGAAAGCAGCTCCTAGTCATATAAACGTTCTACTTTCCCTAGCAGCCGGAGTGCCAACTCAAATGCTTTCTTTTGGGGGCCTGGAAGATAACCTCTGGAAATGGTGTGGTCACTGAGAGATTGGATGTTCTTCCCAAGGACATTCTGATCCAAGACATTCTAGAACATGCTACTGGCCAAACCAAGCACGGGTGGTGTATAACCCAGAGGTGCAGACCAGCATCCGGGTGGGTCGTGTTACAGAGAAAGACCACATGTGTCTACTGCTCCTCTTACACCTCCCCTTTCCTAAAACTATGAAACAGACGGACAACTTTTCTTTCTTTTCAATGACACATTGTCCTTCTCTAGGACATGAACTAGCAGAAGGAGCTGCTTCCTAAAACGGCCTATGTGTGTCTCCTATGTGTGGCAGGACTTAGAAAGACTCCAATCACTCAAGCCAAAGCACGTTTCACAGGCTGCACAGAAAGTGCCAGACCCACTGGGGCCTCTAGTCTGCCTGTCCTCTTCCCCCTTCCTCCCGTCCTCTTCACAGAAGGCAGCCCCTGCCTGCACTGGTATATCTGAAATCTCCCCATGAAACTCAGACCATAGAGTGGTTTGAAGATGCTGGACCATGATGTAACCAAGTATGGGAGGGAAGAGACTGGTCACCTTGAACTGAAGAGGGCTGGCTTGTGGGCTTCCAACTTGTTTAGTTGGCCCTTCAGCTTACTTGAGGGCTAGAATATCACAAATTTAAAGTTAGGAGAGTCCTCCTTTCTTCTAAGAAGTTACTTCAGAGATGTGGAACAGACCAACTCAATCAAAGTGGCTGTCTGCCTGGGCTTAGCACACTCAAGGATGAACAGTTACACAATATGCTCTACAGTAATTTTGCAAAGACACACAAGGTATTTTGGATTTTTTTAAGATATGACAATAAATGCAGTTTAGAATCTCAATTCTTAATCTGCACTAAGATCTCGGCCTAACAGCACAGGGTCTCTCAAGCCTTCCTGCCCAAACACACCTCAAAGCTTAGAATTTCCAGGAGTTGCGGGAACCAATAGAAACACGAAGACATGCCAAGGTGGTGAGGTGAGACCAGGCTCAGACGGCGTGAAGTTCCCAAGGCCCAAGTTCTTGGAGACAGGAACGACCCCCTGCCATCCAAAGCTTAATCAGGTCAATGATTGCTTAATAGGGTCCAACACCATGTATGGAGGTCATGAGAAGAACACCAGGCATTTCCTGGGCTAAAATTTTTTTTTTTTTTTTTGGGCTAAAAATTTTAAACCAAATGAAACAGATGTTCACATCCCTTCCCGAGAATGCAGTATAATTAAACAGAACTCTTAAAACGGGCTGGCTGGCCACTTTGTCACCACCTTCTAGAGTCACTTCAAAGAGGAAAGGCAGTATTTCATGAGGGACTCATGAAACAATTCCCTCTGGAAAATCCAGGGCCTGCATAATGGCTACACACAGAGAGCTCCCATAAGCCATGACTGCCGGAAATGCCTTACAACAAAAGGGAGTTAGCTGGAGTCATCAAGTGACCGGAAAGACACCCCACTCCATTCAGGGCGCGGGAGGCCACCTGATGCTCGGCCCCAGGTTCCCTTCTTCACAAAACAAATTCACACACAACTTTGACCCGTGGTTCCTGGGCTCCGGTCCAGTAGTCAGTTTTGATAAATAGAGTAGGCGTTACAGTATTTACACTTTCATGATATCAAGCAAATACGAAAAACACAACCACAATAATGGTTACTGGCCTTCAAAAGCCATTTACAACACGCTTTCCCTGATGGTGTCCACAGCTTTCCAGACGCTGGTTCTTTGCTTAATGGGGGGTGGGGTCAGGGGACAAGAAAGCGGGATGTGGAGGTAAGAAGGTCACGTGGGGAAAACACTGATTTAAAAAATCTGCTATAGTCAGTAACATTAAATAGGGATAAAACCTTGTAATTAGAGACGCGCAGGACGATTAACGAACAAACATCCACATGACAGTAGAGCCAAGACTGCCAGTGACATCCGCCTGGGACCCGTGGGTGGCACTTTATACCCGTCACACCACCCAGTGATGAGTGTCAGCTAGGGTGTCTCAGCTCCTTGTCACAAAGGCCACCAGCCAGAGCGCTGGCCTGGCCTGGGGCGGCTGGCCCGGAGGAGGCGGGGAGATCGGGTATCACATGAAGGTCCTCCTTCCCCTGAAGACCCCGGACATGTCTCACATCTTTCCCGAGTATGGATCATGGCCAAGGGCGGCCAGGTCAATTCTCAGTGGGGTTGGTACCCGTCTCCAGATGAGGCATCAGGGAAACACCATGCTCAGCTGACCAGTCAGCTGTAACAATGCAAGGACAGGGCCACCAGAGGGGTCTGCAGGCACTGGCTGAGGTGCAGACTGGTTAAAAAAAAATCAAATAAAAGGAAACAGGTGTGAGGGCGTCCAGGGCTTGCAAAGCAGGGTATACAGAGAATGGCCGCAGGAAAACCAGTGAGGTCACAGGTGCTAAACTTGACCCCAGCCTCCTGAGAACAGGACTCCAGCCTCTCCCGACCCCCAACCCACCCCCCTAGGAAGACTGGGTCTTCAAGCTCAGCAACTGTGGCCAGCTATGGCCACTCTCCAAAGGCAAAGGGTCAAGGGCTTTATTTAAATTAAGGACATAGGCGAGACACCATAGGAGACAAGAGCTCACCACCCACAACAGAAAAGCTATGTGTTCTCAGACTTAGCTCCAGGGTGCAGAATGTAAATGCAGGTACACAAACATAGATATTTTACTGCTAGTTACTCGGCAAGGGACCACGGAGGCATGCCTCGCCGCGCCCAGATGCCGGCCACCGGCCCGAGGCTATACGGTGGCCTGCGAGTCCTCGCCTGGGTTCCGGCCGCTGCAGCTCTTCCTGAAGCTTTTCCACTTGTAGCCCACAAAGGTTGGGCTGATGGGCAAGTAGCTGAAGCAGCGGTACTTTTTAATAACGTTCATGCCGAAAGGCAGGTCGTAGGACTCCATGCCGTCGAGCGACTTGTTCCCCTTGCCAATGCCCTTCTTCCACTTCCTGATGCCTCTCTCCTCGGGAGAACCTGTCACACGCGTGCACAGGACAGAACAAGGCATGGGTGAGTGTCAGCTGACTGAGAACCAGGCCCTCCCCGCCGTGTCATCCACAGATCAGACCTGCTGGCTGACAGTGAAGCAGCCTGAGGAGCAGTGCCACTCGGCGACACTGCTGTCCCAGGAGCCTCCGTGATCCACACTTAGATGACCTCACAATGCTCCCCCCCTCGTTCTCCTGCATAACCATCTTCTCCATCTTCACTGCTGGGAGCTGGCCGAAGTCAGCTCATCCCTTCCCTGGGACTCTGCGTCAACCCTCTCATTCGCCGTCTCATCCCCACCCTGCAAGGCATTGCTTAACACGCTGCAAAACACTTGCAACCTTGACCTTACACAATGCAGCTGAGCCTTCATGACACCACCTGCTGGCTGCCTCGCCCCAGGCAGACACAGTGAGGGCTTGGCTCTGCTCTGCTGCACCTGTGTATATACCCTTGTCGTGTACTTGACACTGTCCTGCTCCTGTGACTGGACAACTGGCTGTCTGACGCATGGATGGGCAGGGGAGGAAGAGCTGTGCAGAGTCTGGGCCCATATTGGCTACACGGGGGTTATGGGCTGGATGCTATCCTCACACACCCTGAAATACACACTAAGCTCTTGGCCTCGATAGTAGGGAACCAGAAATAAATGACAGAGCTTAGGGATGAGATTCTATTTGGAAAGGGGGCTTCCTTGTCATAATTTTTAATGCACTGGGTGGTCCAAATCCCATCACTTCTGTGCTGTGCAAAGAACAGAAGAGACACACAGAGGGGAGACACAGACTCTTCTGTGACCAAAGGAATGGCCAGGGCTGCTGGCCAACACCAGACTGACTGAAGGTATTTTTGTTCTTTAAAGTCATGCACTATTCTAGCTGTTACAGCAGCGTTACATAACCAAGACGCCTAACAGGTTCCATGTGTGAGCGGGATTTGTGGTAGGTTAGAAGTTCATTATTTTCTTCCATGTAACCAGTGTCCTCCCACTGGTAATCAAGTAATAATGAACTTGTTACTTTCCCTCTAACTCCTGAGTATCTCCTTCAATTAGTCCTGGCTCCAGAGAGATGGGATGTTACATAAGGATCCTCTTAAATCTAGCACCGTCCACCTACTCATGTGAGCAACATTCTGTCTGGAGTGGCCACCCTGGTTTTCCCAGCAACTTGCTGCTTGAAACTATAGGGATAAGTTGTTTAAAGGGGGAAACTGCAAACCTTTGAGCCCAGGAGTCCGCATTACCCTTCCCAGGGGATCTGTTCCTGCTCGGGATAATTTTACAATGGTACATGCAGCCTTTCCTGGGTTCAGAGAACGCACCCAGCAGAGGAGTGGGGTCCTGAGCGACGGGCAGAGAGCTGGCCCATCTACGTCACTGATCCTGACAACAGCCTTAGTCTACCACATTCTCCTCCTTAGAAGTGACTCATTAGGGACAGGATCCCACAAGGGAAGAAGTCTCAGGATATTAGAGAAGGTGATGGGAGCGCTCCCACAAGCACATGAACGAGAGAAGGGAAGGCGCACCCCCAAAACTTACTGCTCCAACAGAAATCCACCAAAGAGAATACAATCCTTGCCCCACAGATTTCCTACAAAGGGGTTGGGAATGTCAAGTTTCCACCAGTGGGTGACTTCACCTGTGCACCCATCTTTTCAACTGGCTAAATAGTCTTTCTATTACATAACGTCCATGTTTGATCCATGCTACATACCTGGGATGGTATTATCCAAAATGAAAGCCACGCAGCCTCCTACAAACATAGCGGTCGTGAGAAGAACATTCAACACTTGGTCAATCGCGGTTATCCCTGGAAACAGGAAATGGGGAGAAAGTGTTACCGTTCAGCAAATGGGCCATGTCCACTCCACAGGTCAATGCAGGACATGCTTGAAGCCCACAGGTATGTGATGCATGTCCAACTTCTATGGCTAACTGGCAGAGATCAGATCAAGTCCCACTATGTGTGACTGCACGTGGCAGACGTCTCCATCCACATCCTGGCTGTGCATGTGCAGATAAACTCTGGCCACAAAACATTTTAAGTTACTCTGAAGACTCTTACCACTGTCTCTGTAAGAAAACAACTCCTACACGAGATAAACCAAACAGGGTGGGATTCGCCTGTAATAAACTTTGAAGTTACTGTTACTACAGATTAATTAAAAATAAAAGATGGCCGGCCATCCTTTACTTCTAAGACTGAGAGAAAAAGACAAACTGAATAATAAAACACCAAAAATACGTGCGGTATATACAAACAAACCAGTGTTTTCCTTATTGGTTACTGTTTTCTTTAGGAGAAAACAGATTTACAAAGATATCCCTATGTGACATGATGTATTAAAATTTAAAAGAACTAAAGAAAAAAAAGATCAAGAGGGCCACTGCTATTAGGGAGTTGACACACTTTCTATATTTTGCTATTAGGAGTTGACACACTTTTTAAATTTATTATCTAATGACCTCCAAGTCTGTCTTTGCTCAAATTAAAGGATCAGGAACAACAGTGAACTTTGAAGATGGTCCCTCCTCTGTTCACTCTCAGGGCAGTGAGGAACCAGAATGGAGTGATGATGTTAGAAATGCTCATCTGGGCTGCTCTTAGCTGTAATCTCAATTAAAAACCATGAATTTTAAACTTAAACACAGTATTACTTTGAGTGATCTAAGTTTTCCACAGGTGCTCTCCCACTGAGACAGTTTCAGTAAAGAGAAGCTTTCACATACATGCCCATTCCATACACCTGCCAGAAATGTGGAAAAGCAAAGGCCTTCAGGACTGAATGATGTTTGACAGAAATGACCCAGAAGAAAGTGCATCAAGACGCTTCCTGGAACCCTATGCCCCTTCCCGCTAGCGAGGCCCTCCTTGCAAATTGGTACAGGAGGTTCTAATTCCCCCCTGGAATTTAAGGCCCGTCTTCCGTACCTGTGACCAGAGGGTTCTGTCTGAGGTAACTCGGCAGGACAAGTCCAAAGAAGATTGAAAATCCAAGCACAAAGAGGTTCCGGGAAGAATTTAAATCGATGAACTGCAGGTTAGAGAGTCCAACAGCTGTGATCATCCCTGAAGAGAAAAGAGCGAGAATACATGTTCCAGAGAGTTCTCTATGGTCTAGGGCCTCTCGCTTCTGAAGGAGACTCCCTACAAACTTCTTCCTCATCCCTCAGGAACGAGCTGGGAGACCAGGGAGAGACGGGAGAATAGAGTGGGCTGGGGTGACGAGGGAGACCCAAGGTCGCCAGCCTGTGCACTATCTGGGATCATAAGGGGCAAAAAAAGTCATACTGAGTCTTCTTTGCATCAGGTATGAAACAAGTGCATTGATTCTCTTTAAATCACCTATACTATATAGTATAGTGTGTGCAGTGTGTGCGTGTCTGTGTGTATATATATGTTGTTGTTGTTGATTGCCTTCGAGTCAAGCGTGACTCATAGCGACCCTATGAACACAAGGTCTGAAGTCCCTCTACAACTATTGACATTTACCAAAATTCATAGTTTCCAGAGGCATGTTGTTTAGGAAGTGGATGCCACTCCTGCTTCCAAACTTGTTATTGTTGTTAGGTGCCACTGAGTCACCTGTTATGTATAGTGACCCTATGTACAGCAGCTCCGAACCCTTTCCTGTCCTGAGCCAGTCTCATGTACATATACTCTCTATCTATATAAGGATCGTACTCTATCCTGCTTGTCTAATGTTCATAAGGTTTTTCAGAGGTCTGCTATTTCAGAAATGGGATTGCCAAACCTGCTTCCTAGTCTATCTTAATCTGGGAGCTCTATTAAAACCTGTCCACCACAGGTGACCACTCTGCATTTGACACATTGGTGGTACAGCTTTCAAAGCACCCACAGCTTACCTCAGTACAGCGAAATGACAGACAAGGGCTGCAGTAACTACAAATATGCTACAAAGTAATTAGCAATAGGTAGATCATTCTACCAATACAACGAATATATATAGGTGTTTTATCTCTTAACATAAAAATGTAAAAATAGCCAGACATACAAATAACACAGCAGAGGACGGCCTTCTCTGACCCCTTTAAACAACAGGCTTTGAGCAATGGGCTCAAGTGTGTCGGAGATTGTGAGGATGGCACAAGAGAGGACAGGGTTCAGATCTGTTGTTCATAGAGTCGGTATGAGTTGTAGTCAACTTGATGGCACCTAACAATAACAAAAACCTCTACATAAACTTTTTGTCCCCCTAATGATTTAAGGGGTATTATTATTATTATTAGTCTGACATAATTTATTCCTGGTATCTGATGTTACAAACTTTAGGGTCTTTGAGATATGCAGGATCCTTGTATGTAATTGGCATAAATCCCAATTTTCAAGCCCTCTTAATTGCTTTTGTGATTTCTTTGTTTCTTCCCACAAAGACCTGTTATGTGCCTTCCATTTATGCTCCAATAAATGGAGACATAAACTGGCACAAATGCTGTACATTCTTATAATCTACACGTTTGTTTTCCACACAAGATACATTATTTTCTTTTTTTTACAAGACCCATTTTTAAAGACGTTCCCTGTAAGGATTCTCCGTTGGAAGGACAAGTCCTCATGAGAGGTCAACTGTTTATTCTGGGAGCAAGCTCCTCCCCATAGCACATTGCTCCTTGTTCTTTTCCTGACCCCTAATGTTGTGATGAGTAGCTGGAGTTCTCAACCATTTACACCACTCAGAGACTCTCTCATTTCAAATTTAGAAAATCAGTATTGTTCAATCAATGCCGGCTCGAGCAACAGTAGAGGACAGAGTAGAACTGCCCGTATGGTTCCAAAGCTGTAATCTCTGCTAAAGTCGACCATCGCATCTTTCTCACAATCTTCTGGTCAGCAGCCAAGCACTTAGTCACTGCACCACCAAGGCTCTCTCTACGAGAAGTTAGCAAATGCAAAAGGAGCCTGAGGAGGGAAGCTCAGTGGTGTGAAGGAAACCTTCTTACCAAATAGAGTGCAGAAGAGGGCGCCGAGCACGGGATCGGGCAAGGACGCGAAGAGGGCGCTAAACTTGCCCACCATGCCCAGCGCCAGCATCAGGGCCGCCCCATACTGGATCACCCGGCGACTGCCAACCTGCAAGACAAAAGTGGAGGACAGACGTATTCACAAAGGGGTCTTCCAGCCACACTCAAGCTCCTGGTGGATTACAAAGGGGAGCCGGTTCTCGGGGAAAATAAACCTGTCAGAACCTGCTCAAAGAGCTCTGGTGTATAACAATGAAAGAATTTTTCTTTTACTTTTCAAAGAGAAGAGCGAACTGGGGATGGGGGGAGGGGGTTGGGCAGGGAGAAAAGTGCAGCAATGAATGAATGGAAATCCAAAGTCTCTCTATACACACATTCATTAAAATTAATAATAATTTTTAAAAAAAGTTCTGGTGGCCTTGCGGCAAGAAGTTGCACTGCAATAATAAAGGTGTGAGGTTCGAATCCAATAGCTGCTCTGTAGAAGGATGGGCAATCTCCTCCCATGTGATTAAATGCCTCTGAAAACCCGTTGGAGGGTCTGCTATAGGTCCGATTTAACTCAATGGCACTCAACAACAACGTCAACCCACAGGCTGGTGTGACCCACACGGTCTTCATGAGTCACTTTTCAGAAGCAGATCACTAAGGCTGTCCTCCTAGTCAGACTTGGTCAAGAAGCTCTGCTAAAACTTGCAAGCTTCCCCTGACAGACATGTGTGGACTGTCCAGAGCACAGGCCCGGCCAGCAAGCGAACCTGGGTCCCCAACATGCAGAACACGCAAACTCCACCAGGGGGCCACCAGAATCCAGATGACACTGTTCATTAACTGGGGCCAGTCACTTTGTAAGTTACCACAGATCTTCAGAATAATGTCCAGTGTAAGAGATTCTGCCCATCATTCTTTACCGCCCCTCTCCCCGTCCCAAAGCTGCCTCTGTTTCTCTGGTGCTGGCCTCGGCCCGGGTGACACATCCAGCACTCTGAGCTGGCTGGCCCCTGCACTCAGGCTCTGGGCTCCGGCAGCCTCACACTTCGGCTGTGCAAATCCTGTGCCATCTCAATGCAGACTGAAGATGCTCCACTTTTCTTGAATTCCTCTCCTGGATTTAAGTATATATTCATGGTCTCTTCCCCCTGAAAGGCTGGCCAAGAATAGAGGTCAGAGGCGGAGTCCTTGAGTGGAGCAGGTCAGCTCCAGTTTTCACTATGTGACTATGCCGTATCCCTGGGACGCCAGAGCTTCATCTTGATGGTGGGTTAACTGCGCAGTTTTGCTTTGAGCATGAAATGCGATGAACTGAGCCTGGCAAACACGATGCTAGGAAAGCCCACACCTGGGGTTGTTGGCTCTGTTCCATCATGCGGACAGCAGACTCCCACCCTCTCCTGGACAGGCATCGTCCCCTCAGCCCTGGGACTCTGGCCACAGTCGGGGAAGCCTCCCAACTGTAGAGATTTTCTGCTTCACCATCCAAGGCAGCAGTGAACTTGGGCTCCACCGAGCTAATGGGCTCCTGTGGTCTAATGAGTCTCAGTGATGCCACAGATGCTCAAGAGCTGACAACTTGACCTTGAATAGACACTGTCACAGGGAAGCGGCAGCCCAAAGGGACTTCCACCCCCTCCTACACCCCCAAGAAGAGCAATCATTTTGATAAAGAATGCTGATGACAGTCTTTTCAGAATAAGTTGGCAACATTAAAAGGTGAATAAAGGTAATTCTTTCCCAAGTCACTCTGGTACGCAACCCTACTCCTTTCTCTGTGGTTATATTACCTGTTGATGTGGTTTAAGGGGGGACAGAAGGAGCGGGCTTGCTAAGTGCTTTCCCTGAGCGTCCTGCCACATAGAACTCTATGTGGCATTAGCTGCCATTGATTCGGTTCCTAATGGACAGACACCGTGCCCTGTCATGTGCTGTCCCCATGGCTGGCTGCAGACCAGACCACTGGAGTCCATAAGGCTAGCTGACTTTTCTGTACCCAGTAAAACTGGTTCCCTTTCAACAATTTCTCGTGCTATTTTTTTTTAATTGTCCTAACTGTTTGATTTTTTTTTTCCTTTTCTTTCCACAATTTCTACAGGCTGGTCAGTCTTCGATGTTGTGTTATGTGCTGTCGAGCCAGAACCGGCTCATAGCTGACCCTCCAGCGGACTTGGAGACGGTCCACCTTTTTCCTGTGGAGCAGCTAGTGGATTCAGCGGGTGCCGTTGGCCTGGTAGCCCAGCTCCTGACCACTGGGCTGCTAGATGCCTTTTCTCCGCTATTACCACACAAACTGTACCGCAGAACAATGGCTCACAACTACAGCACTAGCCTCCCGTGGCAGATGTGGTCGGTGCCCGGCATATTTCCTAGGATCTCGGCATCACACGTCTTTCTAAATTTCATTTTGTAGTTGTTGAGGATATATACAGAACAACACACCAATGTAATTGATTCTACGTGGGTTGTTGTTGTTGTTATGTGCCATCGAGTCGCTTGCGACTCATAGTGATCCTAAGTACAAGAGCCCTAAACGCCGTTCTATCCTGTGCCAACCTCACCGACTCAAACACATTCCCACCACTCCAGTCACAGAATCGATCCATCTCCTGCGCCATCCCTCCACCCTCCCAAGCATGATGCCCCTCTCCAAGGACCAGTCCCTCCTTGCAACATGCCCAAAGTATGTAAGGCAATCAGTGATAATTCAGAGAATATTCTTCCTAGTTGTCCTAACATGTTCACCTGCCTTTTGACATGTTCCTCTTATACCATCTGCTGTCTAAACGGATCAAGGCCTGGGTCAGCATGCCATCTGGGTGTCATTCATGCCCCCACGTGTGTATCATACAAGGCGGTGTACTGGGTACACCAGGAATCAAACCGAGGTCTCCCTCACTGAAGATGACAGTCCTACCATTGAACTGACAAAGTTAAGCACACAATTTCCACTTGTACTAGGGATTAGTTACACAGAGCGGCCCTGGTAAGCCCCAGAAAAACAACACACAGGAAAAGAGGTGCTGTGTGAACGAGACTGACAATTAAGAGAAACAAAACTTGGTTTTCCTTAGAAATCTCTCCCTGACTTTACGAAGGTTAACCGGTCTCCTAGCTCACCCCCGGGTTCTCTGGGTACAGTGTCTGGGTTAGGAAGGCTGGAGACTCATGCAGTCACAAAGGCGGCGGAATCGATTCAACATCCCACATTGTGAAATGTACAGAGCCAGCTCGCCAAGCCCAATTATTCAGCACCCCAGTCATTGGCAGCTCATGGCCAAAGGCAACTGGGACACAAAGCTTAAGTGCCAATAAGGCATCAGAGGAGGCTGGAAGCCAGCTCCTCCCATGGAAGCTGGCGTTTGGGGCGGGATACTCCCCAGTGGGGTGGAGCAGAAAGGGTGGAGGGTAGGACTCTGGCCCCAGGCCTTAGCCTCCACTTGGGTGATTCACAATGACTAGTTTTATGCACTACATTTCCACATCAGATTAATGCGAAGGATTAGAACTTAATTCTTTAAGACTGCTTCTCCTCCCCTCCGCGTAGCAGATGGAATCATCTAGAACCACTGGCATCTCAACAGGTTTCCTCTCCACTCCCCCTGCCTTATCTCACAGGTGACTTTTGTCACTAAGTGCTCCTTAAAAGTTGACCTCAATTCCCAGGGCACCTGCTTGTTCCACTCAGTCCCCCTGGTGGCCTGTGGGCCTGATGTGTGTCCTTCACAGGCCTCATCTACTCTTTCCTGTAACTCTGCTACTGCCCTGATGGCCTCCTTGCTGTCCTCCAACATCCAGGTTGGCTCCAGCACCTCCCCCCCAGCCCCCTGATCAGTCTCCCTGAATCCCTGTTCCCAGGGCTCCAGTTTTATGCCTCTTTGAGGCCTCTACTCAATGTCATCTTCCCAACCAACCTGCAGACCTCCCCACTCCCCAGCCCTCACCCTGACTCCCCAGCTCACTCTTTTTGCCATAGTCTGACCCACTGTATTATTTTTGGACCTGTTACACTTATGTTACATCTATGGCCTATCATCTCATGCTGGAATGTGAACTCTGAACACAGAAATCTTTTTCTTTTTTATTGGCTGCTTATGCTACGCGCACAAGGGTGGTGATTAATAAATGTCTGGACAGTAGGTGAGCATTTGGGTGCCTCTCCACTCAGAAGAGTCAAGGAAAAGTAGGATCCAAATTAGTAATCCAACCACTCAAAGGAAAAATGAGGGAGAAGACCTGGCTCAGAGCCTTTCAAATGCACTGAGATCCCACCAATCGAAGCAATGCTGTCTAGAGGCTCAAATGCTTCCATAGAAAAAATGACGTTACCTTAGTAATTCCCAGCACGCCGATGTTGGGACTGGATGAAGTGGAGCCGTTCCCGGTACCAAACACTCCATCGAGGACACAGGAGAGGCCTTCCACAAAAATCCCCCTAAAGTGTGAAGAAATGGAGGTGAAACACATTGACTCAATGAGAAAATGCTGAGACACACTGTAGATGCTTGTGCTGCTGAAATATGGTGCAGGGGCCTGCAGACTCGGCCCCGACACTGGAAAAAGTTAGATCCAGTGAGCGGAGATGCCATGTTCTGGACCCCCCTGCTCCCCCAGCCCCATGCAACCTTGAGAGGCCCCTCTCTGAATCATGCCTTAGACCCAGATGTCCTAAAACCATTCCAAGTTAAAACAAAGAAATTTAGCCAGAAAGTAGAGCCATCTACTGAGATCTAAGGCCTTTGAAAACCCTATGAATACTAGAGGAAAGAGAGCTATATAGAATAGGGTTCAGATCTTTTGGTCATAGGGTTGCTATGAGTCATACTAGATTTGATGGCACCTAACAACAACAATAAGACAACTGTCAGAACTGATTCAACAGCAGAGAGTGGTAGCATGAAAAATATGGTATCTACTGAAATAAAGATGTAACAATTTGATTTCTTTTACTAATAAAGTCTGGTGTCACTGGAGAGGACATTCCAGAAACATGAACACTGAGAAAAGAAATCAACTTATTAGCAGCTGTAGCATATGCCACTGTTCCACTAGGGAAAGATGCAAAAACCAGGATTTGAAACTCCTTACTGGAACATGTCACACGAGCTACCTTTCGGTGAACACACATCTCCAACCTTTTAGTCTGTGGTCGTTAACTGTTTGCACCAACTGCTGACTCTGCATATCAGGCCCACTGGATCTAAACACACACAATCCCTTTTGGAATCATCACAGCTGGCTGAAAAAGCAGTGCGGTGTGGGCTGTTTCCTCTGTTACTTCACAGGGGCCAATTCATTTCCAGCACCCAGAAACTAAAGACCAGGAAAGCCAAGGGCATAAACCTCCTCTGGTCCTTATTTATGAAGCTATAAACTATGAATAGGGATCCCTGTTGGCTTCGTGGTAAGGAACTATGCTGGCAACTCAAAGGTGTGTGATTCCAATCCACCAGCTGCATTGTGGGAGAAAAATGGGCAAGCTCCTCCCATGTGATGTCAGCCTCTGACCGCCTGTCACCATTCTGACTCAACTGTATACAACAACATAACTGAATGGATCAAATAAAACCACCTAAAAAACTGCTTGGAAGACAAACCTAGGAGAACATCAAAGTGGTCATGCCACTATCAGCTATTATGTGGATTCTGAACCATGGGGACCCCAGAGACGCCAGAGCAGAACAGTGCCCTCGAGGGTGTTCAATGGCCCATTTTTGGAGGGTTGAGTGCCAGGTCTTGAGTCTAAGGTACGTCTGGTGAACTCGCACCTCCAACCTTTCAGAGGCCAAGTATGTTAACCATTTGCAATGATCAGGAGCTCTAACGTGGGTGTATCATGTCAAAACCACACAGCTAAGGAAGGACCTGGTATATGTGAGCTGAAGGTTTAACTCAATCTCACAAGGAGGATTTTATTATTGCAAAGAAGGAAAAGTGGTAATATTGCTAGCAAGTCATTGCAGCTGAGTTGGGCCCGACTCATAGCTGACACTTCATCGAGTTTCCAAAACTGTAAATTGCACAAAGGAAGACTGCCCACTTTTCCTCCTTAGAACCACAGAGAGATGTGACCACATTGGGGTGAGCAGCACAACTCCCAACAAACTGGACCACCAGAGCTCCCTGCTCTCTCATACAGATGAGGAAAACAAGACCAAAATATGGGAGGTGACTTGTGATATTAAAGGTTTATTGTTCAAAATGGCTTTCCTAGTCTTTGGCTTTGACTTTATCATATGTATGTGTGAACAGGGCCTGTTAGTCTATCTATAAGGGAACCGACTAGTCTTTAAATTGAGCTTAGTCATTAAATCGAGCTCATTCAGTAGCTTTTGAGAATTTCACCACCCAAGAAGAAAACAAGAGAATGCAGAGCAGCCCTGGGAATCAGAAAGTCTTACCCCAGCTCAGCTAGAGATACAAGACAGACGCAGGAGTAACCACCACAGAGAATCAGACACTGACATGAGGCAGAGCTGACCTGGGCACTGCTTCCCCCTGGGACCTGAGCTAGGAACCTCCACCCAAGTTTATTGGAGAACTGGGGAAGGAAGGGGGAGAGGGAGAATCATAACCGGCAGGACTAAGTGGTAAGAAGCTGCCCTGCAATCCTGAAGGCACATGTTTCAAATCAACCAGCTGCTCCACAGGAGACCAATGGGCAATTTCCTCCTGTCTGATTTACTGCCTCTAAAATCCTGCCGGAGGGTCAACTGTGGGTTGGTTCCAACACAACAGCACACAACAAGAGCTTTGTAAGGGTGCTCTGCTGGCCTAGCGGGAAGAAGTTGCATTGCAATCCCAAAGGCACACAATTCAAATCTACCAGCTGCTTCGCCGGAGAAAGATGGGTAATCTCCTCCCATGCGAATAACTCCCTTTAAAAACCCACTGGAGGGTTAGCTATGGGACGGTTCCAACTCGAAGGTACACAACAAGAGCTTTGTAACTAACATTGGACTCAATCTGTGAGGCTGAAGGCTCTGTGAGGAAGATGCCCTGAGAAATTATATCCTGCTGCCACCTGAAATTGTGTCCTGTGTACTTGCCTACTACCCCCTATAATTGTTGAGTATAATCCCATGAGCTCTGTGAGCTACTGTAACATGTTTTCAAACCAGTAGAGCAGCAGGATTGGTACTGGAATTGGAAGGAGGTGCTAGAGCTTGGAGCACATGTTTGACCTCATGAGACCTGGCTTTGCGTTGCTGATGATGTTGGTGGGGACAGTTCCCCTTTGTGGAATCAGTACAGGTCAGATATATAATTGTCTTCCTGTGGCCCTTGCTCTTTTTACACGTGTCCGAAGACAAACAATCGCTCTACCGTCTTATTTTGCCGCCTTCCCAGGAAAACATCCTCCCTCGAGCTGATCTAAGCCACAGAATGGTGCAGACGCAGCTGGAGAGAAGAGCCCCCCCTCACCCAGGACCTACCTATTTATGGCATGGATGGGCGGGGGCGGGGCGCAGGACAGTCGCGCGCAGGCGTAGTAGTCGCCGATGGACTCGATGATGCTGGCCACCACGGCGCTCAGCATGCCGATGACACCCGCGGCCGACACGGTGGGCAGGCCCCACTGGACTGCGGGAGGGAAGCACACGGGGCTGCGTTACTTCTGAGAGCCTCGGGCCAGGGTCACCAAGGAAACGCCATTCATACGTCAGCCGGGCCCGCAGGAGCCACAGATTCTGATGCTCGTGGAGCCTATTTTTAAATCCGAGTCTCGCCGGCACCAGATGCCTGGGAATTGTTTACAGAGGCCGATGAAGACGGCCATGGTGAGGATTAATCTGCTCAAGGTCTTTTATTGGGGTGAAAAAAAGAAAACAGAGATCGCCTGGCAGCTGTTTCTCTGCCTGCACCAAAGTGACCTTGGGTGCTGACTAATTTATAATCAGCACAGCCTGCCGCGAGGCTGGGAGAGGAATTTGCTAGAGGGGGTTTACAGCCCAGCTCAGCAGTGCATGGCCCACCGTGGTGGAGCTCTGGCATGTCAGAGGCTGCAAATGAAATACCAGCGAAGAGTCACCAGTCACATTTAAAACCCAACTTACAGCAAACACGGTGCACGCGTGGCCTAGTACAGTCCTCTAACCACGAGGGTCAATTTTTTCCTTTAAATGCCTGTCCATCTACTTGGACACTGATAGCCATCATTCTTTTTAAGTAGCCATCATTCTTTTTAAGTAAAAACAGTATGAAGAGGCTGCATCCATAGAAGTACCTCCTCTCTTGAACAGTTATTTACAATACATTCACTAGGTATAAAGCATAGGTGAAAACGGAAAAAGTGGATGAACACACTCTCTGAGGGCCAATAATGCCATATGGGGGACACGATGGATGGAAAGACCTGGCAGCAGAGAACTTGAGACACAGGCACTGTGAGTCCTGAAACAGCACACGTTGTGGATTCAGGAAAAGCTGAAGTCAGTGCCGGTGGATGCAAAGTCCAGGCCGGGTTTTGAGGTGAAAAAAGAGGAGGAAGTGGGGATGGAGTGGGTCTGAGGATGAGGAGAAGAATGGGCATCAGTCGTGAGACACAGGACAGGGTGGTGTCGGATGGGGCTGGACAGGATGCTCAGGCAGGTGTGGTAGAAGCAGGTGCAGGATGCAATGGGTGGGCGTGGCCTGTCTCCTGGGTAACAGGGAGCAACCACAAGGGGTTTACAAAAAGAATAAGGACATTCAAAGTAGAAAGTGCAGGGTGTGCCTAGAGTGTATGAGGACAGAGTTGCTGCTGCCAAAGGGGACACATTTCCTGGAAGGTACAGTGAGGGGAGAAAAGCCAGTGTCCTTTGATGGAGATGAAGGCCTCCAGCTATGGCTGGACAAGTACTGTGTCTACCGGCAATGTGCTCACTCAATGCCTTACTGCGAGTGAATTTGAATGGGATTTCATCGCTCTAATGCTTCCCTTTATCACGCATCATTTGAGGTTTGAAAATAACTTTTTATACTGGAGCACAAGGGTTACATTTTACTTAGTAAATAATTTTAAGGGACCGCTTTTATTTTCCCACTTACTATTATTTATGAATTGCATTTTCTCAGTCTCTTTACTCTCAGGTAATTTTCTTACACGTGGTTCTTGATTACAATGTATAAAATCTCTTATTGACGCTCACATTTTAAATTTATAACTGAATTTCAGATTCATTTCCATCTTCTTTCTTAAATTGTGTAGTTTTCCACCTTTTTTTTTGTCCGAAGTGTGTTCTTTAACTTCTCATCTTCACCTGTCATTAATTTTGTTAATTATACTAAACATTTTCTCACCCTCAGCACTTACGATATTTTGAGCCATAAATCTGAATTTTGCTCTAGCAATCTGTGCTTTTAACAACAAATACCCAGCAATTCTTGCCACACTACAGCCCAAGAACCAGGGCTCTGGGTACTTGAAAACCTGGTTCTGGATTAAGCCACGTTGCCAGAGGGACCAGAGGCCCACATTGGCTCTAGGGAAATGGCATTCTATCAAGTGAAGCCATGGCAAGAGACCAGCTTGCAGCATTAAGGATGTCTTGTCCTGAAGCTGACTCCCTATCACTCAGCTCTGTCTCCCGACAATTGGCCCTGCAAAGCCCCTGGGGCTTGAGTCCCTGGTCTTGGGCAAATAGACAGTTCCTTCTTCTGACAATCTACTGTGTCCCTCTCTGTGCTCAGAGCCCCCCACAGCCACCCGCACAAGCAGAGAAGCCCACCTGGATGTAAGCATTCAGGGCAACCACCTCATTCTCCTTTCCTCACTGACTTTTCCATGCCCAGCCCCACCGTGATAAATATGCACAACACACAATCTCCCATCTTAACCAATCTTCTAGTAATATTACTGACCACAATAATAATCGTCATGACTATAACTTTGTTCAACATCTCACAGAATAACCTTATTTTATCGTGAGTTCTGTTCGTAAGCCATCTTCAATATGTTCTTGGAAGAAGGAAAGTGGCACATAAATCCACATCCTTAGACCACACAGTATGAAGAGAGCACTGGTTTAGAATGTCTGTATTTTAAAGCTTTGCAAGCAAGTCATGACCAGGACCAGAGCAACCACATGCGGTGAGAGCAACCCTTCTTTGACCCTACCTTCAAAGTTCTTGCCTTTTCCTGCTTTTCTGCCATGTGATTATCAATACAACTGCTAAACCGGGGATTAAACGGGAACGAGCTGACAAAAGCAGGCTTCAGATTTAATAAAAGCCCTAGATGCCAAGAACAGCACCCCCAGTTCAATGGCCCAGCACATGACGGCGCACTGGGTTTGGGCTTGTGCTGGAGAAAGCGGGTGGGCCACGTGAATCCAGGGGACATCTCACCAGGGGATCTTATTCCTCACCCCTGAGGTTACACAACACTTAAATTACAACTTAAGCTCTGCCCTCCGCCCACTGGTGAGTATCCGTTTACCTCTGACAGTTGGGACCAAAGAAAAGAAAGATTAGGGCTCCCCATTAAAAGATTATCAAAATCACATCATGCTTGAGCAGCTGGGTTTGCTAATCTCTGGGACCTGCCCACCTGCGCCTTCCACTTGGGCATCTCGGCACCACGCAGTCCTAGACTTATCTCTCTAAGTGCCTATTTTCCGATGTTGGCCACCAGCATCTTCAGCGCTCAGTCCTGGCAGCGACCCCTGATTTGGGATTCCATCCCAGTGGAGCCAAAACAGCCCCCTGGCTAACTGGAGAGGCGAGCTGGCAAGGCTCCGAGTTAATCTCCACCCTCTGGGAAAGGCTGCTCTTTCTCTGCTGTCTAATCCTCCAATGAGCAGAATGGTGAGACCTTCAGGAGACAACATGCCAAGACAAAGAAAGCTTTTCATGCAGGAGAGCCTTTGGTCAACACCCAGCCCCTCTGAGCTGGGCTCTCTTGGACTCCTGACCACTCTGGCACCAAAATACTCACATGGGTACGGGACCTTGAACCACGGGGCGACCAGAAGCACGCCCAGCCATACTTGGTGCTGTCGGGAGGGAAGACGTCTGTCATGGTGAAGATGAAACACAGCAGCCAAGACACCAGGATGGCCAGGATGATCTGATGGTCAGGAGGAGAAGGAGAAAGTTCAGGCAGGCCCACAGAGCTGGTGGACACACACACACACACACACACACACACACACACACACACACACCCGTGCAATCAATGCTTCCATCACCCATCAGTGCCACGATGAAAAATACCCAACAGAGCTGATGACAAGCTATTCTTTAAGGGGAAGGGTTTAAAAGAAAGTAATTACGTCCAGGTAGATTTACTTTGACATTTCCAAAGTCGGACTCATAAGGTAAGAAGACAACACACACCAGGTCACCAAAGACACACGAAGACAAATCTCACTTGGCCCTGAGGACCACGTTTCCCCACAGGCGCTGCTGGGAGGACACACTCTCGTTTCAGAACAGGAATCGTCCCGACTCCTCACAGCTGTGGGTGCTCACGGCTCCTCTGATGTCCCCAGGCAGCCGTGGCTCCCCAGTGAGGGACAGCTAAAACCAGCCCCTCCACTCCCCAGTGAGGGACAGCTAAAAACAGCCCCTCCACGGAATGCATCACATACACACAACTACCGTGCGCAGTGGGGCAGTCAGCTACTCACAGGGAACATTTTGAAAAGCTGTAACTTGTACGCGGTCCATCCTTTCTTGGATTTGTATATTGGGAGAGGGAACTTAACATTTCTGGCATACTGAGAAAACAGTAATACTAGGAAAATTGTCCTGAGGAGAAAAAGAAAACAAAGTGGGTTAAGGTTGCATGCCTGTGTATTAACACAATACTGAAAGTTTCAGGGGCAAAATGCACTGTATGTGCTCAGTTCTTTTCCTACCAGGCTGCTAGTCCTCTTCACTGCTATCTGGGAAATGTTATCTTTTGGAACTCCTATTTTAGGGGAGAGGCTCAAATTCTTTTGCCTAGAATTCTGAGACACTGAAATGAAACTGGAAGACTGATGCTCCTGGTTACATTTTCCTACTAGATAGAGATAACAAACCTCAGAGCAGGCATGCCTGCCGGGCAGAGCTCTTGCTGTGGTGAGGGGAAAAGAAATCAGCTACAATATACTGCACAGAACATCTGAGCCAGAAAACGGCTTCCACGCGTGTGTGCTCACCAACAGGGAAGGACGCACTCTGGAGGAATAGCTGTTAAGCGTACCATGATTCATGGAGGTTTTTCTCTTTTTCTGTGTGATCTGATTTATACTTTAAAGCTTGAACATAGAAATTCCCTATGACCCACCTATTCCACTGCTTGGAAATGAGATTCCAAGAAATGAAATTCCAAGAAAATGAGAACTGAGGCTCAAACAGAGACTTGTACACCAATGTTCATAGCAGCGTTATTCACCATCGCAAGAGCTTAGAAACAGCCCAAATGTCCAACTACAGTTGATAGGATTGAGAAACTATGGTATAGTCACATGTTGAAATACAGCACACAGGAGCAATGATTTTGTAAATCACTACTAAACATGGGAGGGTCTGGAGAGCATTATGCTGAGTGAACTGACTCAGTCCCATAAGAACAAATACTATAAGGACCATACTGTAGAATGAGTATAAGGATCCAAGGTGCGGGGAGGGTGGAAACAGAGGGGTGAGGATGGGTGGGAGGAGGTAATCATAGGGGGATATAATCTGATGGGGGGGGTGAAGAAAATGGGAAAGATCCTGTGTGAAAAACAATGTATTAGAATCTTGTAAATTAAATA